CATAAAAGAGCTAGAGCTAGAAAAAATTTAGAACTGAGGCACATAATAAATAGTAGTATATAATAACCCTGTATGTCTAATACATATGTACATCTACATAAATACACAAATTTTTACAAAAATAATCAACCGACGAGTGGGATTTCCCACTGTTCATTGTACATTTAATTCAGTGTTTTGCCGGTAACCTGAATGTGTATTGGGTTCTTTTAGAATTATCATTCAGTTTTTATTCAATGTAGTATTCAATGTTGTATTAGTGTAAACTAAAATAAGACGTACAAAATAATATCTCTGAAATAAAAAAATATTATTCAGAAGTATAAAATAACACTAGCGACCTAGCGACGGATTCTCCTGGATATATGATTTATCTATATCATTCATCTATTTATTACCACTCCAGAGAGATTTGAATCAGAATGAGCATCCGTATATTATATATAAATAGATTTTTGCCAATTGCACAAATATCACTTTTCCTACTTGCTTTGTCATATTATATTCTAATCATCAACCGTGAGTGTACTTAGGACGAGTACGGCGCGTTATCACTACTAGTAACTGATACATGTAAGTGATGTGAGCGAAAAGGTTTATTTACTGGCAGGTGACTTCATTGTTCATTAAAATATTTATAATAAAACATTTCCAGGTTCGGCAAGAATAAAATTTTACGAAATGAAAAAAGTATCATATCAAATTATTTTATTACATAGTCTTCATAAAGAGAACAACTGAAAAATTATAACGAAGGAATCGTTTTTAGTAATATTCAACGTGAAGTGTAGACAATGTGTGAAGAGCGTGTAGCAAGGCGAGGTATCCAGCGTGTATGAAACATATCTTGTATATCAGTGTCTGAAATGATAGACGCTTAAAGTAAATATTTTACCTCGCTACCCATGCCCCATCGTATGCTTACCATTTAACCTTAGTCATAGCCTTACGAAAGGAATAATGGCCTGAGCTACGCCTATCTAGATATATTTAAATAAATCTGTTAATGGTATTTAATTTTAGAGAATTCGGAGAAGAGTGCGGCGTAATTACAGTCCTTAAGTTTATTTAGAATGAGCATAAAAATGGCATGCGCAGTTACTGTATTGTAGTGATAGGTGTTTTGAACTTAAAGGTGTTGTTTAATATGGAATTTGCAAATAACTACACTTTAAGCGATTGCAATCCAGGCTCGAGACATTGTATTTACAAGAGCGTGTTTATCTAGCAAGCCCAAAGCTCAACCCTCTCAGCTCAGGTAAAAAAAAACATTTAAATCTAAATTCATGACCATTTTTAAATCATTTATGTTAGGAAAGGAAAGTGTAAAACGTATCATCATCATCATCATTATGGGGAAGAAAGGTTCTCGAGTGGCAGCCTCGTACCGGTAGGCGAAGTGTAGGGCGTCCCCCCACGAGATGGAGTGACGACCTGGTAAGACATGCAGGAAGTCGATGGATGCAGGTGGCTCAGGACCGTGTTTTGTGGCATTCTTTGGGGGAGGCCTATGTTCAGCAGTGGACTTGTGAAGGGCTGTAAAACGTATAGACACTAATATAATTTTACCAAATTCAAATTCGAATGGTGAAATATCCATAAATTTTAACTGCCTCATTATGTCAATATCCATATGTTATTGAAGAGTTATTTACATTAATAAAATGAAAATTGTATTCATAAAATATTATTCTGTTAGTAATTATAGAATATAATAAAACTCAGATTTTACTATTCTATACTCTCAGATGAACAGGTGTTTAATGTGGTGGAATCAAGGCGCAGCTTTATTACTATGGTTACATTACATATAGGTCGGTTGGACTGCGGTAGTACAATGTTCTCAATACCAGCGTAATATAGAAGCTTATTCAACTGTATATCGAATTATCGAAGCAACGAGGCATACTGAATAGACAACCTATGGGTGACTACGTCTCTACATTTTGATTTTTAATCGGTTATATAACAATATAGTGTCTATACGCCACAGAATCCATTAACCATCACGTGGAAGGTGTGCTCGCTTTTCATACTTATTCTATAAAAGAAACTGGTGCTTGCAACTGTTGCATTTTATTTAAAAATAAATAAATACTTTAATATTAAAGAGTGAAAATTCAATTCAAATAACCACAAATACATTATGAATATTGAAAATTATCACAAATATAACTTTTAGTGTATTTTTAGTGCTCGAATATTGTAACGTGAAATAATTTTTTTAAAGAAATCAATACGAATAACATTCTCCTTCTTTTACTTACATAAATTATGTATTTAATTATACGAATGGTGTTTTAATTGTGTTATACTACAACTCATCTTATATCTACAATTGTTTTGATAACATATATATATATATATATATATATATATATTTTACATATATTCTTAAAGTCTGTTCTAAAGTATTCAAGCGATCATATTTATTTTACTCCCTCCAGGCTTTTAAAGCGTGACTTCTTGTCGTGCATATATGTACTCGTAATTAAGGGCCTCCACTTACCTCTATTATACTCTTTCAAGTACGCTGGACTGGCTATATACCCTACAAAATGTTTCTACCAATTTAAAGTGCAGCCATTGAATGTACTGGGAACTAATATTGAGATAATATGTGTTGTTCAAATCGTCTCTCTGTATTTGAAACTTTCAAACGAAAAAATGAAAGAATTTTACGTAGTTTGGTTATGTTTGGTTTTAGTTACTATAATGAGAATTATTTTTAGTAATAATGAGTATGTGTAATTTGTAAAACTCGTTACCAAAAGTAAAGTGTGATAACAGTCCAGAAGTAATTGAATTTGCAGATAAAATCAAAAGTATTTGATAATAAAGGTACTTAAAAATTTGTTACTAATCTAAAATAATTAGTAATTACCAACATGTTTGGCTTTATATTACTGAGTTTTGAGTAAACAATAAAATTCAATAGGGTTGTCGAGTTCCTTGTCTATAATACATATCGATATTCTTTTATAACCATATCTATTAACAACCAAAGTCCCGGACAACAGTTAATTATCAAATGTTTATTAACACTTTCACTGTCCGATTTTCAGACACAATAGTAAGACAATAGCAATGACCTATATGTAGTGCACGGGACAGCGAAAAATTAAATAACTGGCATAAAACTTGTGAATTGGTGTCCGAAACAAAATTATTATCTTTATTCAAAACACTTCACAGACGACTGTTTTATTAAACACAAAACACGCACTACTTAGAACGCGTAGAAAGGTCGCTTATGATGACTTTGTATTTACACTTGGTGAATTTGTTAAATCTGTTTAAATATGACCAATTTATTATATCAAGGGAATAAATTTATATTGGGACTACAAACTTATTAATTCCCTTAGTGAGTTCGAGTAAATTTAGGTGAGAAATAGCTCCCCGCTAAACGGATTTTTGCCTTGTCGTGGCGTGTAGCAGTCGTGGCTTGGTAACTCATGGTGAACGTGGGAGAACCCAGTTGGCTGGTCCGAAATGAAGGACCTTTCCGAGGTGTTTTATCGATATATTTTGTCGCGCTGTTCTATCTCTATCATTAGTTCCGTGGATGCTCACTTCTGCTATTAAGGTCAAAATAGCGAAAACCAAATCGCTTCATTACGTCACGGTGTATAGCCACTCCATATATAGAGGTCAGTGGCCAACACGCACACGACGTCGTTTTATCGCGCAGTTCAAAGCGGGTCAGGTACCAATTTAAAAAAAAAAATCAACGAAACAAAAAAAGCTGATCTTCAAACTGAACACATTTTTTTGAAACATGGCTACGAATAATCTCGATTAACACCTTTCGAACAAAAAAAAAAGTTAATCAAAATCGGTTCATCGTACATCATTCAGGAGCTATTAAGTCACAGACAGAGACACAGATACACAGATACACACTACAAACTTATAACCCCTCTGTTCTCGTAATACATTGCCAACTTCTGTTTACATACATATACCTTAGCAAACGTATACAAATTTCATTCACCTTTGCGCACGTGAAATTTGTCGTAAGTTAAGGCTCTAAGATATTCATTTTTATTATAATTATATTTGCTTTTAAACCAACAATATTTGACTCTAGCAATAAAACTCGATTGTTAATAATTGAAAAGAAAATAACTTACATATTCATTCTTACTTCAATGTTTGAACATAACCAAAGCCATACTAAAAAAAAAACTGATATATACATATACATTAGATTAAATATTGTTAATTAGACATATTTCTTGAAATATTTTCTTAGATTTCGAGCAGGCTGCACTTTTTATTGCAGTTTTTACAATTTAAAATAATAAAAATAAACTCCGCCATTTCTGCCTGCCTGCTGAGAATGAGAAAGTGTATGACTATTTTATAATAAATGAATTGTGACCAACTTTCCACTTAGAAGTTATTGTAATAGGTACGATTTTCGGAAATCCAGACGTTTTGAGGTCTCTTGATTTCGTAGCTTGTTTTTAAAAAGATATCTATGTCGGTGTGTGTACGTTGTGTGTACAGTGAGGGAAACTGAAACAGGAGATGGTTTTGATAAGTTGTAATGAAGGATGAATGAATGAATAATGTCAAGAATAAATAATGAATTCGATCCTCAAACCTCTCGACTGTGACATCTGTAGAGTCCTTTGCTTGAAGTTGATTGCCACTGGCTTGGTCTGTAATAGCCATTTACCATCAGGTGGACTGTACGTTCGTTTGTCATTTCAAATTTATAAAAAAAAACAACTTAGTTCGAAGTGTCGTAATGAACCTGGATGTTTTCATTGAAAATCGATTCTCCAGTCTTCAAATCGAACTTACAAATAGCCACTAAATGGAAAGTGGATAGTGTGGGCAAACGAAGTCAAACCCATATCCATTTATTTATATACTCGTACTAAGTCCTTTACAGAAAACATTTCAACTTTTTAGGCTATGTTTACGTATAGAATAAAATGTAATAATCTCAGTAACTATATTTAAAAAAAAACATTACAAAAACGTTATCCTTTACTACATATATTAAAATAAGAACAAACCCACTTAATTGAGCTTGCAAATGATAACTAACAGAAGTGGTTATTAAATATAGTGTAAAATTTGTTATGTACATAAGTAACAAGAACTTAACTCTAAGATAAATCCTATAAGGTAATTTTAAAACAGATTTTCACATAAATTATCAGGAACTTAAATTGTTTTTCCAGTTTAAGGCTAATTTCCTAATCATTAGATAAACGTTGTCAAACAAATAAATTATAACCCGACTAATTATAAAAGTGAAACAATTGAATTAATTTATTCATACAACTGTAATTTTCAATTTGTTTATGTTGTATTTTATCTCATAAATAAATTTATCTCAGAATTAAAAGTCAGCCCTAAAACATTTCAGTGCTCAGCAATTGTCATAAGTTTGAGAATCTTAGACACGTTTTAGTTACAATTGAAAACATGTTATTTTAATTTCACAGACTAAATTCGTAACAGCCATATGTTCACTAATAAAGTACAGTTATCGGCTTTTAACCGCCAACTAGAGATAGAAGTGCATTATTTTCACTTTCTTCATCGTAGTACTGGAATGCGTCGTCTATTAAGCCATCGTAGAGTTGACCAAAGTCTTGACAGGCGACCATTGGTAAAAATAATAAAAGAAATATAAGGAAGAAATTTTGAAAGCATCTGGCTGCACCGCCATTCAGTGTTACTGAAAAATAGAAAAAAATATGATGTATAGCGAACTACCTCTAAATAAATAAAACCGTAAGTGATGGTGTAAGAATATTCACTACCGCATATGTGGTAGAGCCATGCTGCAGCTGTATTAATAGTATAGTTGCAGCACGAATGGGTCGTCTCGACCTGGGAAGGACCACGCTCTCACAGAATACCCGCGTAAATTAGCAACTTAAAGCTGCTGTTTTTCGTATGGTGAGTGTAGAAAACCGGACACCCTTTTTACTGGCAACGAGGCATTCCATATTAGTCCCCACGTGTGACAACGTATCTGCATTTTGATTCGCAAACGTAGATAGATGTAGATGTCTATGGGCCACAGCAACCACTCACCATCAGGTGGACCGTGTTCTCGTTTGTCACCCTTATACTTTAAAAAATACTTTCCAGGGGTATCTCGAGAGGAGAGAGAGGGAAAAACATCAAATTATGGACAGCAGCGTATTCCTAATAACGACTAGAAAGTAAAAAAAACTGCGGTTCCCAAATGTTTCTACTCGTAGCTTGTGGAATTAGATAGGCTGTAATGAATGAAAAAAATGATTCCAGTGTTTCTTGTTGTTTTATGTGGGAAGATTATATTTTCCAAATAGATAGTCAAAAATTACATTTTATTATTATCACTCGATCGCGTAACTGTCCAACTACTGATTTGAATCAAAGAGTCTCCGTAAACATATCAAATATTGGAAGATTAGTGATACGGTTTTTTACTAATGAAAAAAAAAACGTTACGAGCACCTACATTTTCCCCTCGGATCATGAAGGCGTTATTAACATAGATCAATCAATGGAACAGCTGCCCATTTTCTACTTCATTTCCCTCTGTTGCTTCTTACGACATCCACGGGATGATTATGGTATAATGGTCATACTCCGCCACTTAACGGCACGTTCATAGGTATACCACTAACATAATCAGTTTTTATATATTATAAAGTAATTTTTGTGTGATATTTTATGTTGATATTTATGATATTTATGAGTAATTTTCCCGTTGCTAACTCTCAGTCCGCGTAGCAGAGCTTCATGTAGTTTATTAATGTAAATATTTCCTTGTCGTTTGAACGAAATGAGTTAATAATATTGTTAATATACACCATATTGTTGTCAGTTATTACCACTATAATGTAGTATAGACAAGGCAATAAAGATAAACTGAAACAAGAGATGGGCAGAAGCATCTAATTCTAACTGATAACAAGTGCAATGATGAATAACATATATTGTTAACAGCCTGCCAAGCATTGCGAATGTATCAAATATCCTCTATAACGGTCATCTATGAGGAACGTTCAGCTGCTTGCTTTTGATAGGCTCTCATGATGTTTTCTAGTTATATTTTTTATAGAGTAAAGACGACAAACGAGCACATAGTCTATCTGGTAAGTGTGTGGTAAGTGGATGTTGTATGTGGCCTATAGTTTACTCACCGACAATATCATCAAAATCGTAGGTGCGTTGTCACCCCCGAGGACTACGGTAGAATACCTCGTTATCGCGTGAACGCACCAGCATTAAGCTGTTATTTTAAGGGGCTACTCCATGCGAACGACCTTGAGTATTTGACCGGCACGCCGTTCGCTACAATATTAATATATTGTAGCGAGCGGCTCGCCGGAAGAAATATGTAAGACGCCACCTATTGTACGAAAGCAGTATTATTTTTTCAACATCAATAAACTATTTTATGGAAATACACATAGCGTACAAAGATAAATGTATTTTAATTTTTTTATTCTGTATATATTAGTTGCATTATATTAGAATTATGTATTTTCATATATTATCTAATTATGAAATTTTATAATTAATTATATATTAAAACGGAAGCATTGAAAATTGTGAGTTTAAAAGATACCTATTCACTATAGGTAAATAAATAGATAACTCGGCTTTTGTACAAATATTTGGTGCAATAAAAAATATATAAATACAAAAATCAACAAGAAGTATAAGGGTTCAATCTTTCAATTTCAGTTGTAAAAAAACGTTACACCCACACTTGGATTTTCTCCTGTGTCGTGGAGGCAGTTTACAAACATAAATTGCACAAAGACAAACATCCAGACCCGGAACAATCATTTGTAGGCCATACAAATCTTGTTCCATGCGGGATTCGAACCCGCGGCCCCCGGCGCAACAACTGATTGCTAAGCCACTGCGCCACCATGAAGCTAATACAAAGACTAACTTTGTATTTGCTTCATGGTCGCCGGGTTATAGCTAAAGTGACCATACGTCCCGTTTTGAACGGGACTGTCCCTTTTCTCGGTCTCCTGTCCCATTGTCCCCAAACAAAGCTCCGGGACACAAAATTGTCCCGTAACTCGTTGGATGGAAGTATTCAAAGTCAACAATCTTCAACATAATTTTTTTTAATCGAATATATTTTATGTCTACCTGGTACGAATGCTCCGGTAGAAAGAGTATTTTTTTATTTTGCATAAATTGTGGACGTCTGAAAGAAACACTTACGGTTCCAGAGTTCTAAATGCGATGTTCTTAACAAAGATAACAATAAAAAACTTGAGCAGAATTTTATTCTTATTTAAAATCATCACCAACTTTATTAAAGCAAATTTAATCCACTGACAAATGTAATTAATAATTTAAAAAAAAATATGTTGCATTTAATAATTACCGTCTATACCGAATATAATTTTATAGTGAACACTAATTGTATAAAGTTATAGTTTTTAGAGTATAAATAAACCCATGTCCTGTTATGAGTTAAAAAATAAATGGCCAGTTTAGTCTTTTTAGTTAAATTTAGTTTTAAAAATTTTTAGTTTATAGTAAAAAGTAGGTATATTAGTACTTTTTACCGAGTTATAAGTACAGAACACCTTATGTACTCAATTATTTTTTGAAAAAGAAGAAATAACAAGCAATAAATAATATACTATATTTTAGCAAAAAACTATATCTTAGTAATACTAATTATAACTTAGAACATAAATGAAAAACTCATAACTGACTTTTTGGCCCGACCCAGGATTCGAACCCGGGACCTCATGATCAGCAGTCGCACTATTACAACCACTAGACCAACGAGGCAGTACTATACCTGATAAGATATTGTGGTTGGGTGATAATATTGAATTAGCCTTTTATAGTGTAAATTATAATATTTGTCGAAATTTTAATTATGGATTCGAACCTTACATGCTAATGGTGCTTCATTTTTTTATTTAAATTTACTTCAAAGAAAATACACGCAAAAATCTTCATCGCGCAGTAAAAAACACAACAAATATATGTATAACTAATACGAAAAATTATACCCAAAACAAACAAATAATACTACCTATAAATAACCTAATAAGTAATATTATCGACTCATATGACGTGGCGTATGCGTTGGTCGACGCTCTAACGACACGAGCTTCACGTCGAAGAGCTCAGCGCTCACTGACTTCAGTAAGCCCGTGAGCAGTAAATATGCCCAGATTTTAAAATAATTTCTAAATAAAATCAAATTTTGGTCTTTTGAAAAAAAATTTACTATAGAAATGTTTATTAATAAATTGCCTATCCATTGGTGTAAATCGCAAAATAAAATAATACTTACTTTACGAGGAGATGCATGTTATCAATAATAATTTCACATTTATGTGGTTTCGTTGTAAGGAGATTATATTAATATTTATTCCTTTAAAAAAAATTGGATATAGCTTTTATGGAATCAAGATTATGTAGAAATATAATGTGTTTTTTATTTGTTGATATATCTTTTAAATAAAAAGTAGATAGCTCCTAAAAACCGCCCAAATAACGACTAGCGCGACATTTTGCTCAACCTGCGCCTTAAGCTTCTATTTTATGAGCACGTGGTCTTTAGAGCCGACCTATTCGAGTTGCAGTTATAATAAAGCGTGTCTCTTCTTTGTGCATGTGTATGAGTACATATACATATATCATATTTATCAAATTCTTACTTTACGGTATAATACATATCACGATTGAGTAAGAATTTGGCACGTAGTTTTTAGTGGTGATGATGATAATAATGATATTAAATCGGTCCAGATGAACTATTTCATATTATTGGTTACAGTCCTACAAGAAGACGAATGCGTCATTTAACCTAGGTAATTTTCCTGTTAAATATCTCATTAAAATATTACTTACTTCTTTCAGGCCTTGGATCAGTCTCTGGGGTAAAGAAGTCTAATTTAGCTGTCCTCTTGTAGATATCGTAAATAGAAGCTACGCATTCGAGCCTCATACGCCCTCCGGGGAAGAGTCCTGGGGTCACTTTCAATTCCACGTTGACACGTGTAGTGAACAGCCCGTTTTCTAATTGATGCAGGCTAGTTTCTGATGACCGAAGCTGTAATTATGAAATAAAAACCTTATTCTTAGGATAAAAAAGCCTATAATATACAGTTTAATCAGTTTAGATTTTCCATTAGTACATTGTATGAAATTATCTACAAACTTATTTTTGCAGCTAATTTCATACATTACAACCTGAATAGCCCACTACTTGAATAATATAGTATAATAATATATTTATTCAGATTCTGAATGTCAGGGCGAGAAATAGTGTGATAAGAGAAAAGTGTGGTTTGCAAGATGACGTTTTGACCAGGATTAAGAAAGGAATGCTTCGGTGTTTTGGTCATGAAGAAAGAATGAATGAGGAATGAGTGACAAAGCAAATTTATTTTCAGAAGTGAACGACAGAGACATTAAGGGACGCCCTAGACGAAGGTTTATCAACCAAATTGGCGATATATTGAAAATGTACCAGATTAGGAGTACCCTTAACCGACGAGCGTGTAAGCGTAGATATATGGATGTGAAGGTGGCGAAAGAGTTGTATCAGCATTGTGCCAAACGGAAGTCCGTAGTCTCTGCCTACCCCTCTGGGTGACAGGCGTGAGTGTTTGTGTTGTTTTGTGTTTTGTGCATATAATAGGTCACGGAAAATGTTTCTTCGTATTTTGTTTGTATAAAATTGAAGAAAAATCTCTTTGGTTTTACTATTTGTATCTGGCTGGTTTTAATATCAATACATAAAGGGAATTAAGAAAAAATAATTAAAAAGTAAAAACACTTCCGCCATTTTTCAATAGTTTTTCTGTCCGCCAAAATAAGTGAAACTAATAAAGAAATTCGATACATTCTGATACATTATTACAGAAAAAGGAAAAAGTCGACCCAAGGCGCTAATAAAATTTATGACGTTTAAAGACCTAATACAGTATCAGTAAGAATAGCACAAAATAAGTTCAAGCGTTTTCAGTTCGGGAATTTTATTGTTAGAAATGCAGCTTGCTCTGGTTGCCCTCATACGGACAAAGTCGTTGCCATTTCTGAAGAAATAGAACAAGATCGGCGTATTAGTAGTTACGACATAGCCGAGGAATTTAGGATCGACCAAAAATCAGTTTTGATCCATTTGATAAAGTCTGGCTATCCAAAAAACTTTAATATTTGGGTACCACACGAGCTCACTAAAAGAAACCTAATGAACCGTGTACTCATTTTTGCGATGAGTACACGATTCATTAGGAGAGATGAGTCCCTATTGAAACGTAATGAAACCGAACCGTTTTTGAAAAGATTAATCACTAGTGATTAAAATGGATCGCCTATGACAAGAAAGTGCAAAAACGATCCTGGTCAAAGGGTAATCAAGCTCCATAGACTGTAGCGAAACCCGGACTAACACGCAAAAATGTGATGCTGTGTGTATGGTGGGATTGGAAGGGCATCGTTAATTATAAGCTTTTACCGCCGGGCAAACCATGGATTCGAATTTCTACTGCCAATAACTAATGAAACTAAAGCAAGAAATTGAGAAAAAGCTGCCAGAATTGTTCATTAGAAAAGGAGTGGTCTTTCATCACGATAACGCTAGACCGCACACATCTTTGACATCATCATCATTCTCTAAACCATTTCCCATTATCTGGGGTCGGCGCAGTAAATCTTTTTGTTCCATTCCTCTCTATCAGCCGTCATTTTCATACTTACTCCTTTCATTCTCATATCACTCTTCACACAATCGATCCATCTTTTATTCGGCACACATCTTTGACACTTAACAAAAATTGAGAGAGCTTAGTTGGGAAGTGTTAATGCTTCCGCTGTATATTTCTGACCTTGCATGCTCAGATTTTCACGATTCGGTCTTTTCAGAATTCTTTGAGTAGTGTTAGGTTAACATCAAGAGAGGACTGTCAAAACTACTTACTTATCTTCACGCACAAATCCTGACGGGGTAGCCAGAGAGAACAGATCACCAAGTGTCACGATCCTTACATACCTCTTTCGCTTCTTTCAGATTCATTATCTCACATGGTCTTCGAAAGTTAGTCTCGGTCTACCTCGACACCTTTTAATATTTACTTTCGCGCTATATATTTTCTTCACCATTCGGTCTTCACTCACTCGCTCAACGTGCCCAAACCATCGAAGCACGCCCTTATCAATTTTTGTGATAAGGTCATCTTTCAAACCTGCCATATTGCGAATTTCTTCGTTTCGCTTTCGGTCAGCCATGGTAACGCTGCACATTTTACGAAAAGATCGCATCTCCACTGCATTCAACTTACTTTTATGCTTCTTCTGGCATACCCAGGTTTCGCTGCCATATAACAAAGTCGGTACCAACACTGCGTTATGTATTGCAAGGCGTGCACTCTTCACTACGCCTTGCCTTTTGACTAACGCAGTCAGGGCACCATTGACTTTGTTCCCGGCAGCGACACGCTTGTCCACATCTAAATCACATCTTCCATCCCGGCTGAAAGCACTCCCCAAGTATACAATTTCATTTACCTCTTCTAGACATTCCTGATTTACCCATATTTCACACTTCGTTCTCTCTTCGTTCCTTTCAAATACCAGAACCTTAGTTTTATTAGCATTCAAACGGAGCCCTTTAAATTCACATTCCTCTTTCATACACGTGACTAATGCCTGCAGTTCTGCCTTTGATGGTGCAATAAGCACTGCATAATCAGCATACAGCAGACAATTTACTTTAATGTCACCCAATTTCACACCCAAATCTTTCAGTTTCTGTAAACAGCTACAGTAGCACAGATACAGTATGAACAGCCAGGAACACATGACACAACCCCGTTTTACGCCCATTTGGACGCTAGACATGGGTGACAGGTCATGCCCTACCCGCACACAGGCTTTATAGTTACAGTAAAGTGACTGCACAGCCCTTAGCAGTCGACCATCCACACCATATTTTCTTCCTTAACAACAAGTCCCAGTCTCGCAACAGTTCCCACATTTTCTTCCTTACAACCTTATCAAATACTTTCTCAAGATCCACAAAAGCACAAAAATCTTCTGGTTAGCAGCCAGAAGATTCTCCGTGATCATGCGGAGAAAAAACATTTGATCCGTGCATCCTCTTCCAGGTCTAAATCCGCATTGTGCCTCCCACAGAAATCATTCCGATTTCTCTTGCATCCTACGTGTCAAAACCTTCGAGTAAACTTTACATGCTAAACTGGTCAAGCTGATCGCCCGATAGCACCCGCAGTCAAAATGTGAACCTTTACCTTTATGTAAAGGCACAATGACTGCGGATCGCCAATCATCCGGGAGATCCCCCGTCCGCCAGCACAAATTTTTGCACAGCAGATGAAAGCTGTCCCAGACGCGAGACCCACCATACTTGACCATTTCAGCAGTAACTCTGTCTAGTCCTGCAGCCTTACCACATTTACCACACAGAATCGCACGTTCAATCTCTTTCATACTGATGACCTAAGTGTTATCGAGGTCCGGGTCTGGCGTACTAGTCACGGCGTCACCCCTGGATCCCTCACTAAGATCATCACACGCATACATTTCTCTATAAAATTCGCTCCATTGCTGCATGACGTCCGTTTTTTTTGAGAGGACGTCATTGATTCTGGAAAGCACTTTGTTCATTCTTAAGGCTGTCGCACCACTTCGGGTCCTTCCAACCTTTTTCCAGAAGAGTTTGGAGTTCTCCTTAAAGTTTCGTCCGCTTCCATTCTACACCTTTCACGCACTTCCTCCATCAATGTTTTCGTATGAACTTTCTGCAGCTTATATCTTTCTTTCATCTTCTCTCTCATATCCTTATCATTACTAGATGCCAAGTAGTCTAACCATGCTTTCTTTTTCTTCTTTACAGCTTCTTTCACTTCATCATTCCACCATGCATCTCTACTTATACTACTAACTCTTTTTATCGTTTCACACACTTCTTCCGCTGCACTTACCATTCCATCCCTAAGGTTCTGCCATGTTCTATCCACACATTCTTTTCTGCCATCGATGGTGTCAAGCTTTTCGGCTACCCTCGCATGATATTTGTCCCTAGTATCCGCTTCCTGAAGCTTCCAGCTTCGGATGCGACAGACTGACTGTGGTTCTGTCACTGCCGTCCGGTAGCGCCAACCCGCGAACAGACCTCTAAATCTAGTAATCACTAGATAGTGATCCGTTCCCAGGTCAGCACCCCTGAACACTCGCGTATCCATCACCTGTTTTCGCAGTCGGTCATCCACCAGGAACAAATCGATCATACTTCTCTCATTCTTTCTTTCTCTAGTATACATATGGATTTTCTTGTAATTAAACATAGTGTTTGTCACAAGAAGACCCTTTTTCTTGCATACAGCCAGTATAAGCTTGCCAGCATCATTAACCCTTTTATCGCCAAACTTTCCAAGCACCGACTCGTACCCTGGTTGAATGGTACCAACCATCAAATCAACTCATTCAAATCACCACAATCAGTCCATTCAAATCATCATATACAACAATTCTTTCGTTTCCCCTAACTAAATATAGAACTTCTCTTACATTCTCCGAAAACTCCTCCAGCTCAGCCCTGGACGACGAAGCTACCGGCGCATAAACAGCCAAAAGGAATAACTTCGTCAGTCCCAATTTAAAGCGAACCCAGAGAAGTCTTGCGTTCACAACCTTATATTCAGTCATAACATCGACCAATCGAGACGACAGCAGCACCCCCACTCCCTGGCAGGCGTTCTCGCTCTCCGGGACTCCGGACCATAGAGCTAACGCCCCGCCAGGGAGCTCTTCAGTACCACTGCCCTTCCGTTTGGTTTCCGATATACACACGGCATCTAATTCTCTTTCTTTCATTATTTCAGCTCATTCGTCTTATCTCTCATGCCTCCTCTAACATTCCACGTGCCAACTCTGCACTCAGTCCTCCACCTCCCGCCGTATCGAGCTGTGCGTGAGGGGTGGCGGTCCCCATCGCCGCTTTGCGCGCTGAATTACACAACAACGGGAACGAGCTGGTGTGCGTCGCCTTGGGGGGACGCCCTAACCCTCGTTAGCATGGGTGCGCAGCTGTGTAGAATTGCAGTCCCGAAAAGGGCTGACAGGGATCGCGACGAGTACGCTTCTACAATGACCAAAGGGGAGGCGTTGGCCGTTAGTCTGGACATTGCGAAGGCCTTCGATCGGGTTTGGCACAAAGCGCTTCTTTCGAAGCTCCCTTCCTATGGGCTTCCCGAGAAATTGTGCAATTGGATCACCAGCTTCCTTGCAGATCGGAGCATCAAGGTCGTTGTAGACGGTGCATGTTCTGACTACAAGCCTATTAACGCTGGTGTTCCACAAGGCTGTGTGCTATCACCAACGCTGTTTCTTCTGCATATCAATGATATGTTGCTAACTGGTAACATTCATTGCTATGCGGATGACAGCACTGGTGATGCTCTATACACCGGCCGGGCCAATATTTCTCGGGAAAACGTCGCCGAGTACCGGAACAAACTTGTGTCTGAAGTCGAGTCTTTGCTGGACAAAGTCTCGGATTGGGGGCGACTAAATCTAGTCCAGTTTAATCCTCAGAAGACACAAGTTTGCGCGTTTACCGCTAAAAAGAACCCCTTTGTCGTATCTCCTCAGTTTCAAGGCACTCCCCTTCTTGCCTCAGCCAGTATCGGTATCCTCGGAGTCGACATATCGAGTGACGTGCAGTTTCGTGGTCACTTGGAAGAGAAGGCCAAATTGGCCTCTAAAAAGCTTGGCGTGCTCAGCAGAGCGGGACAGTATTTCATGCCGGCACACCGCCTGCAACTTTACAAGGCGCAGGTTCGGCCTCACATGGAATACTGTTCCCATCTCTGGGCAGGGGCTCCCCAGTGCCAGCTCCTTCCACTTGACCGCATCCAGCGCAGAGCGGCTCGAATCGTCGACGACCGAGCCCTTTCCGATCGGCTCGATTCATTGGCACTGCGAAGAGATGTTGCATCTCTTTGCATTTTCTTTCGCATCTACCATGGGGAGTGCTCTGAGGAATTGTTCGGATTAATCCCAGCCGCCAAATTTCATGAACGCACATCGCGGCAGAACTCCCGATACCATCCACACCATCTGGATGATTGGCGGTCCACCACTGTGCGATTTAGAAGATGTTTTCTTCCTCGCACGACTTCCTTGTGGAATCGATTACCATCAGCGATTTTTCCGGACCGATACGACTTAGGGACCTTCAAGAAAAGAGCCTACTCCTTTTTAAAAGGCCGGCAACGCATCTGCAATTCCCCTGGTGTTGCGGTTGTTCATGGGCGGCGGTAGTCACTTACCATCAGGTGAGCCGCATGCTCGTTTGCCCCCTCTCCTATAAAAAAAAAAAAAAAAAAAAAATGACCCCCAAAACTACTTGTCGCATTTTTTTAATTAAAAATCCAAAGATTTCTACAGCAATGAGATTATTTAATTACCTGCAAGATGGCAACAAGTTATCGAACAAAATAGCACATAATATTTATTATAATTTAATGTAATTAAACTTCAAAAAAATATCTTGAATTGGTATATAAAATACGAAGAAACTTTTCCCCGACCGATATTATGCATTTTACTTTGTGCAGTTTCTAAAATGACGATTTGAGTATCTTTATCTTCGATTATTCTAGTCTAATACATGATGTCTCTCTATTACCAAGTCTAAATATTTGATTAAACAATAATTGTATAAAAAGGGCTATAATAGTATAAATGAGTACATTGTTGATACATAATAACCCCTGAGAATGGTCGCTTCCAAGCTGTTTCTTAAATATATTTTGTAATTATTTTGTAGTAAAACTTGTGCCTTGTATAAATTTGCCTTAGAAAGGAAAGTCCCACTGGGTTTCTTGCTGTTTCTTTCCAGGACAGGTATTTTTCCAAAGCAGTGGTATATGTTAAATAAATGACTTTTAATAAAAAGGACTTGTAGTATAATATGTTGCATAAATGTTAATATGTTGCAAAAATTTGTATAAAATGTTGTTGTATTTTATTATTTAGAACCAGTTTAGATAATTTGATTACAACGAAATATATAATTAATAAAATATATATTGCTTATATATAGATAAAACAGATGTCGCCATTTCATTTTTTTAAATCTTAAAAGAATATAAGGTTTGTAGTTTTGTTTTTGGGGACAAAGTTTGAGCATGTATGTTGAAGAAAAAAGATGGCCACCTGGGTGGCCAAGTACCTGATAATAATATGCCTACTCGCAATCTCCAAATTGTTACAGTTTATGTTTCGGTTTATACATATCATAGTTTTACGATTTGCATTTATTACCATATCAATTTCCACGTGGCAAAATATTTTTATTTTATTTATAGGTAATTTCTAAAACATTTATAACGGGAATAACTTATACTGTAGAAAGTAGATTTTAAAAAAAAATGATAACTTTAAAGGCTAAATTGAAGAAGCTTCAGAGTTTTTTGATATATAACATTTTCAACTAAAAGAGACAGCTTTCTGAACGCTCTTAACTTGCATAGATTTTTACTAAGTGACACATCAGGGACTAGCAAGCATCATAAGATGATTATTATATGTATATAATCATCATAATATGATAAGTGAGGATAGATCAGTATAAAATAAACTATCGTAAGGTAAAACACAGGTCTATTCGTAGTGTCAGGCATCTTAAATATGTTAACTTAGATGTTAATTTTGAGTAATGAGTATAAAAGTAAAGTTGCAGCCTATTTACGTTCCACTGCTGGGCACAGGCCTCCTCTCATTTCTGAGAGGGTTTTAGGGCAAGGAAATGTCCACCGCGCTGCCCCAATACGTGTTGGCGAACTTCACATGTCATCGAAATATTTTTTTTTATTTCTCAGACATGCAGGTTTCCTCACGATGTTTTCCTTCACCGCCGAGCACGTGGTAAATCAGCACTTAAAATTGCAATTAACAATTTCATTGGTGCCGGCGGGGATCGAACCCGGGTTGCTCGAGTACTGTGAAGCTTACAGCGAGCGCTAACCATCTGAGCTACCAAGGCTAGTATAAAATATATAATTATATCCGCTACAACTATCAGAAGATAACTTGGACAGTGTATCGCAATAGGTGCATTATCCATTTCAGGCCTACTTTGTGGTCACCACATTCGTCTGGCCCAACCCATTGGCTTTTATTGGCTCTGCTATAAAGAAAAACATTCCAAAAAACTAATAACAACAATTGTAGATCTACTTCTTCACGTCAAGATGCGGTTTAAACAATTGTACAGCACAGTTATACGCGATTGTCAAAAAGGTGTTTTAAAAGACGATGCTTGTCTATTTTCTGTGCATTTACCTATGTATTGGACCATGAATTAATTATTGACTCTATGGAATCAAGTAATTGGTATCACTAGCTTGTGTTTGTTCCTAAAGTTTACACAGTGTATATCACATTTTTTTTATAAAATAACAATTTTAATCCCCGTCGCAAAAAGAGGGGTGTTATATGTTTAACGTGTGTAACTGTGTGTCTGTCTGTGGCATCGTAGTTCCCAAACGGATTAATCGATTTAGATTCGGGTTTTTTTTGTTTGACAGGTGACTTGATCTAGAGTGTTCTCAGTTATGATTTATGAAAATATTTTCAGCCTTTTAATGATCATCAGCTCTTTTCGTTTTGGGGGTTATTAAAAATGTAATTAAGGTTATTGTGAAAATACATAAAACTATCGTAAATATACTGAGTGGCCAAAGTTAATACATTTATTGTGTTTGTGTGTGTTGTTCCATACTTCCTTGGATATACATTTTTTCTGAGGGCCCATAGGTTTTATTTTATATACTAATGTAAGCCTTAACATATAACTTGAACATAGAAAAATATTCATATTTTAACTTACCGGCTCTTCATTTACATAAATTGTAAGATTTGTGGCAGGCCTCGCAGGGGACGACGAGCAATTAGCCGAAAGCGTTTCACCAGGCTGATACCGATCCTTGTTTGCTTGAAGCGTCGGATCCATAGTAGGTAGCGCTGAAAGTCATTAAAGGCCATTTAAGTAATGGAGAATGACATTAAAAAAATAATGGTCTTGTTTTGGCGGTTTGAGAAATTCCATCGCCTTATTTAGTGACGTGCTTTAGTGAGTAATAAGAGACTAAGGAAAATACCAGATAATATAATATATATGAATACTAGAGTAAAATAGCAGCTCAACGCTGCTGTGTTTCGAATGGTGAGTGTAGAGAACCGGAGACCCTTTGAACTAGATACGAGGCATTTCATCTTAGTCCTTAGGGGTGACAACGGATCTGTAGTTTGATTCTTGATTGAGGGTAGATGTAGAAGACTATGGGCCACAGCATCCACTTACCATCAGGTGGTCTGTTTGCTCTCGTTTAACCCTTATTTAAAAAAAATACACGGCATCCAATAGATAGCAGTGTACCCAATTCGTTTACATTAGATGTAAAATCCCCAAATCGGCGACTAGACGCAACGTTAAAAGTGCAAGATGTCTAATACTGCGGTCGTCAAACTGCTTACCATGCGTGACGTTTAAGGCAAATCCTCTTTACGGCCCATTTCCGGCAGTGGACGTTTACGAGTTGATTATGAAGATGATGATTTAAAAAAAAAATGTTTGTAATCATACCCATATTAAAAGATTTTTAACAGAGTGAAGGGCTTTATTAAATATAATTGCGACTGTATTTTTTGTTTACCGTGAAGTGGCGGTGTAGGAATATCCATTATCCCATATCATCCTGTAGTTGTCGTAACAGGCGGCAGAGGGAATCAAACCAGGAGCAGAGTCTTTCAACTAACGATTAAAAATAAAAATCTGCGTTTTCCAACCCGTTTGCCAAACATGGCAAATATGGGGAATGTTTGGCCCATGTAAATATGCCCCTATATATATAATAGGGAGGCGTATGTTCAGCAGTGGATTTTAATAGGCTGTAATGTAATGTATGTTATTCGATATCTTCACCGATTATGAACCAAGGTGTTTTAATGATTTTTATTTAATTAAACATACCTCGTGATGGATAGGTATATAAAACTGAACATAAAATTCCACCTCTAAAGGTAAGAAACAGGTGATGAAGTTTTAATGTAATATTTATACGAATTTCTTGTTGTCACCTAGAGTTTTTGTTATTGTTTAGTCTACTAAAATGGTCAAATGATTATGGTTTGTTGTTACTTTGAAAAAGTAACAACCAACCTTAAAAACTAAAATGGGTAACTATTTTCATAGCGAAAAACGAAAAATTAAAGCCTTTAAGAAGGTTTTAATTTTTCGTTACATTTCATCTTAGCACCGACTTCAGACGCTATTAAATTCTGTGGAATTATTTCATTCTCTTTTAGATTTTTGAACTCGGTTTTTCGTTTTATAAGAGCTTAATTATTATTTCACCCAGATATTTAAATTTATAATTTACCGTAACCGTCATAGTGAAAGTATTACGATGGTTAATTTCTACTGTAACGGTGCTTGTTGATGAGTGATCTAACCAAATATAACAAGTTGACAAATTAAGTCATATTTACTCATATAGCTTATAAAGTGATGGCTTAGGGGATTCCACTACCCCATATATTATCCCGTGGATATCGCAATTTGCCACAGTGGCATATTGAAACAAAAGATGAGCGGCCGAATATTTCTGATAATCATGGATTAATAATAAAAAAAACCTTTTGTTCCTAATCCACCTAACACGCGTAGCTAAATACTCTGTGAGATAGTCTATGAAGGAGGCCTATGTTCGGCAGTGAAACTTTGACGGGCTCTAATGAATGAAAGAAAATGATGAATAATTTTATAAACCGTGACATTAGTTAATTAAAACCAAAATAACTAATAACATGATAAGAAGTATTACAGAAAATTATAACTGGAATTAATAAGTGATATTATTCTTTTATCAAAGGTGCATGAAATTAATTGACATTTATTTAACCTCTTAATGTAATAAAGTATTCTGAATTAAGTGATGGCAATATCTAGTGATTTAAAAAAAATATTTAGCTTGTCTTTGTTTAATTACTGTAAACCACAAAATAATAAGAAATCGAAGTAACATGTCATCTACGTAAAATAGGTATTATAACTTAGTCCATGATTGATAAACGACGTCAATCTACTCTTTGACGACATCATTAATTATAAATCTATTAAAAATGGCTTATGCTGAGGAAACATAATGATCTTTAACCGTGTAGTGGCGGCGTAAAAGAATCTATTCACTATACTATTATTATCCCGTGGGTGTCGTTATTGGCGACAGATGGAAAGAAATAGAATATGTTCATCAGCATCTTCCTGATAAATTAAAGTAGTAAAAAACTGTGTCACCTATCAAGCATGGTAACTTGTAAAATATCATAGTGAGGATCACTATGTGCCAATCTATTGGAAAGGTCTAAGTTGAGTATTGAATTTACAAAAAAATTATATTAAAATATTTAAATAAAAAAGCTTAAATACATACAGACTTGTTAATATTTTAACTCATACTATTTAGTTTAAGGTAATCTATTCGTAACACAATCTATATCGAATCACATTAGAAGACTAGATGCATAAATAAAAGCTGTTTAAAAAGTTTAAGATAAAACATAAAATATTTCTGAAATGCAGTTTTCGAAATTTGATCCAGCGCTACCAGAACATGTAGCAAAATACAAATCGACATTGTTTTCCGTAAAATTGTGTGTTGAATTTTACAAGTATTTTACAATTGTATAAAGATTTTTGACGTACGTATGTTATGTGCCTTGTTGTGCAAACACTTGTTGATTTGGTGTCTACACGATATTAAAATTACTGTATAAATTTATTCAATTTTAAATTCTCGCTGGTTATAAATTGTATCTGTTAATTGTCTAAAAATCGATATTTTCTAGCTGTCTTTCAAAGTCAAAGTCAAACTCAAAAACTTTTTTATCCAATATCGGCTTTTTAAAGCTTAATCTTACGAACGTCAATCTATTCCGGTTGTCAAAACAAGACCTTGAACTTCTCAGGGTAGGGTCAAATGCTTTTATTTAATAATCTTCTATATGTCAATATTAGTAGTAAGGGGACTAGCATGAGTAGATTAAGAGTTATTATTAAATATAATTGTTCTTAATACCTACTTTTATCTTTTTTATAGCAGGCCTTTTTAACAGTTTACTTACGATTTTTAAATTTTAAGATGGATAGTTTCGCTATATTTACTGAGAGTTTATTGTAAAATTTTATGCGATTACTCCGAAAACCTTTGTTTCTTCTGAGTTATAAAAATGTATATATTTATCTTGATTCTGCAACTAGATTTTCTGTTCAAACTGCTATTGTTTTCCGAATTCGAGAGTTGAAAGTTAGTATATCTGTATTTTTTTTTAAATATTTCTGTGAGAAACCTTAGTTTTACTTGGAAATCTTTTATCCATTTTTAGCAAAACAAATATACTTTCTGTGTGATTCGTGTTTTGTTACAAAAAATAGGAAATATAACCAGTTGTCATTAAAAGGGCAAATACAATCTTTCAAGTGTCAGAGATAATTATGCCCAGCGGTGGGCAGAGGCTGATGATAACGAACGAAAAGGAAAGGTAAAAACCGGGGGACAATACAAGTGGTATCAAGCCCGGAGCGGTTCAGCGGTCAGAGAGGCTAACCAGGATTAAGCCGTTCGCAGAAACGAATAAAAGGATAGTTTAGGGTTTAGGCCAACATATAAGAGCCAGGTACAAATATTTTGTTTTTTTTTTTTTTTGATGAAGAACAAAATAATAATAATTATTATAATATACAATTATTATTATTTTGTTTTTCATTAGCTTATTAAAGTTATTGTCGAACATGGGACTGCCTATTATAGGCAGCAATAGTAGCCAGGTTTGGGAATAATAGGTCACCGTCGCCGTTCTAGGTATGTTAAGTGTGATGTGACGTAAACGATATTCTATTGGAAGTCATGTGGTTCTTCTAATATTTTCAATAATCACCTCTTACGATACCCGTGGGATCAAATGTGGTGCTCACCACACAGCAGCGTTTATTTCTTAATGACCTTTAATTTTTTTAATGTACTAATATTATGTAATGTACGTATAACTGTGGTGTACACAAAAGAATGAAAGTGTCGAATAAAATGTAGTCCTTAACAAAGGAAAATCAGAGATATAAATCAAAATGCTGAAATACAGTCGACTATTGAGACGAAAACACTCGTTACTATGGCACGGGCGACGATTTATGGGTCAATACAGAATCAAATTATGACAGTAAATCACGACACGCTAAGATATCGCAGCAAGATCAGGGGGCTATTGCCGAATATATCATGTAATAGTGTTATGCTTCGGTAGGCGATGTGGCCTTGCTACGTGTTATAACTGAGCTACGAAGACAATTTCTGCAAGTAAATTCATATTGTACTGTTTTCTTTTTTCATGTCTACTTATGTTTATGTACTAAAATTTAAATATTGTATATTGCTTATAAATATAAACATGAGAATATTTTATTGTGACGATAATGGGACACATTTCAGCCAAAGAGTATGTCTATGTAGGTACCACCCTCATCCTCTTACCTGTTTCTGCCACTAAGGAGCATTATGTGCACTGATAAGTTACGGTGTGCAGGTTATAGAGAACCAGTATAATATCAGGCTTTAAAGCATTCTATCTTAAACCTAAGAGATAGCAACGCATCTTTAGCATTCTTGGTTCTTGGTTGCAGGTATCAATGTGCTAAACAAGCCATTTACCATCAGGTGCACTGTAAATTATTTTATCTTACTACTACTCTTGGACATTCTTCAACGTTATGTTATTTCTGTAATACTAAGTAATGTTTGCGACTGCAAATAAATAAAATTCTCATTATATTTGCTAATTGACTAAAATTGAGGATTAATTTATAGCCGTTGTAGCTTAATCGTTTATTATCAAGATTCATCGCGTAGTCAGTGGAAAAGAAATATGTCATGAAGAAACCTGTATGTCTGAAAAGTAAACTATATTTTGTGGTAGAGCTATGCGGCAGCTCTTGCTGTCGCATAGCTCTACCGGGGTGGTACCACGACCTCACAGAAAACCAGCGTGAAGTAGCGGTTTACCTCAGCGTTTCGCTTGGTGAGTGCAGGTGGCCGGAGGCCCTTTTTACTGGAAATGAGGCATTCCATCTTAATCGTCACGGGTGACAACGCATCTACATTTTGATTTGTAATAGAGGATAGATGTAAATGTCTATGGGCCGCAGCAACCACTTACCATCAGGTGGACTGTGTGCTCGTTTGTCACCCTTATCCTATATAAAAAAAGGACATATGAAATCCAGTTTTTCGCAACGAGGTAGACTCTTTCGCTTCACCAGCAATAGATCACTTATAATTTGTATAATTTTGTTTTTATAATAGTATGTATTATTTTTTGTTTATATATCTTTAACCGTGTAGTCGTGATGTAAGAACTACCGCACATCGTCTCGTGGGTACTGTAAATGACGACACAGGGAAACAAAAAGGAGCTGAGTTGGAGCATCTTCCTGGTAACGAATCAAATAGAAAACTTCAGTTGTCAACTCGCCTGCCAAGCATGGCAACTATGGCAAAATTCGGCCTGTAAAGCTATCTATGGGGAGGCCTAATTTCAGCAGTGGACTTTAATAGCCTATAAATATCCTACTGAAGTGCAGAGACTTACAGTAAAAAACTGTAATACTTTGCACCAAAAACATACAAATTACAACTTAAACTTACCTATGACGTCAATAAACTTTGTTGCAATTTGAGTTGCAAAAGATGGCGACTCAGCTGTGACTTCACAGCTAAAGTTTCCAGCGAGTCCGAGATCTAAGCGACGTAGTAGAACTTGTGTTCCGTTAGATCTGTTCATCTGAAATTTTTTAGTATTTGGTTTTAATTTAAAAAAAAATCTCTGAAATCATCTCATTTAAAAATGCATGCCTTATTTTTTATTGCCTCCCTTATACTTTGATATATTTTGTCATACATAACATGTTAATTACGTATCAAAAAATTTAAACCTTTCTACTGTGTATCAGTAGATTATAGAATTTTTTCTATATTTGACATGTTAAATGCAATAAAATCTACTAAAATTACAAGAAGCAGTGCAGTACAAAGACTATATTAACTTATAAAATAACTATATTATATTACTATGTTATTTGTATTAGATATAAATATGTTATGATTTTTCCTGTGATTCCGAACTTATATCATCAGCTATAGCACCATGAGGAAACATGCCTATCTGAGAAATAAAATATTTCAAGCTCATGTGAAGTCCGACACGTGTATTGGAGCGGCGTTACTTACTAAACACACCATAAATGAGAGTAGGCTTGTAACCAGCAGTAGAACATATATAGGCTATAACTAACTAACTTAACTGGTAAATTATGATAAATTATCCCACTAGAAGAACCATCATCATCATCATCATCATTACAGCCCTTCACAAGTCCACTGCTGAACAGGCCTCCCCCAAAGAATGCCACAAAGCACGGTCCTGAGCCACCTGCATCCATCGACTTCCTGCATGTCTTACCAGGTCGTCACTCCATCTCGTGGGGGGACGCCAGTATGTATTATATATTACGCTATGCTCGGAGTTTCTCTGCGTAATAAACTTAGGAATGAGGATATCCGCAGTAGAACCAGAGTAACCGACATAGAAGAACCATATAGAACAATTATTATTCTTTATTATCAGACAGATTGACAATCGCAGAAATTTGGCGTCATTGAAGCTACTGCCAAACGACAGTCTAACGACGTGTTTATACTGCCATCTACCGGAAACCATTAGACTATTCTGGAATTTCCCTTAGTTATATCCTCTTCTTTTATAACAACCACAGGGTGAATAATCTTAAGACACCATCATATTTCACATATAAAAAATATTGCATGGTGTTCAGCGTTCGCTGTATATTTTACTGTAGGCGAGCAACCTGGTTTCGATTCTCATTGGCTCCAATGAAATTGTTAAGTGGAATTTTAAGAGTTTATTTACCACGTGTTCCGTGGTTAAGAAAAATATCACGAGGAAACCTACATGACTGGGGAATTAAATATTACGATAACATTTGACGTTTGCAAGTTTGCCGTGATATAGGTTGTATATAGTTTTTATATAGTTTACTTTGTAATTTTATATTTTATTTGATAAAAAAATCGTCATATGACATTATTAACCCTTGAACGCAAACGCGCTACATGTCAGATATAATTGAGTTGCTATTGCTTCATGAGATTATGAGCAATTCGGATCAATTCTGATTCAATATATTCCGAGACAAAAGAAAAGTGTTTTCTTCATATACGCCGGCAAGCGAAATCCAGATAACTTCAAATATGAATTTCGAATTCATCGGCGTCAGGTACGCTTTGTCAATTTCTCCCCGTATCGAAACCAGCCGTTACGTCTGAATTACGGTTCAAACTTGCGTTCCATTTTCTTTTCAGGAATATTTGATTGAATTTTTCTTCATAGTGAATTTTAGACGATAAACCATGGATATGTTTACCAAAAATATAGAGCGGATACACTAGCTAGGATACACCACTGCAGGAAATCTAATGTCCTTACTTAATTTTATTGGAGAAGAATGCCCAGTAGCATTAAATCCGCTTTTTGATACGTGCTTGTGTGCAAACAAAGCAATAAATTTTTGACAAAGTACGATTATAAGACGAAATGGCTTTTTTATGAAAATGCTTTTTGTATCAAAGTAATTTCTTAAAGGAAAATCATTCTGTAGAGAAAATACAAATAAAAATGTTTCCATACATTAGATGTACCAAGCACCAATCAGCAGGTTAGAAAGAGCAAAGGGACGGATAGTTAAAGAAATAACGTTTTTAAATTTCTTATATGTATTATTATTAATACAAAAAGAAAAATTACATGCATCTACATCTTATATAATTGTTATATAATTATATTTATTTTCAAGAAGAAATTTGATCCTGCGAGCCGCATGCAGCACAAGGAGTCGACGCGCGACCAGTATAAATCAAACTCCCGTGTCCAGCATCCATAGACATTATTGAGACCTTCGTTAGTCATATCAATCCTCCTTTTCATAATTCCACTTTACTTTTATCTTTGCTCTTTTTTGCTATCTTACGATATCGTAATTTTTTTCTTCACCAACAAAAAGATTGCGAATTAATTTTAAAGGGGTTATAAATAATTTATTGAAGGCTTTTAAATTAGATATTTTTTATCTACTAATTCCTAATTATCAATTAGATATTAAATTCTAGGCGCATGAAAAAGCATTCTTATGTGAGATTCTTATAAATGATATTATTAATTAGATGATTATTTAAAAGTTTAGAATGTGTGGTCATACGTGGTAGAGCCATGCTGCAGCTATATTAGTAATATATTTGTAGCAGGTATGAGTCGGCTCGACCGGGGAAGGACCACGCTCTCACAGAATACCAGCGTAAAATGGCAGCTCAACACTGCTGTGTTTCGTATGGTGAGTGTAGAGATCCGGAGACCCTTTTTACTGGAAAAGAGGCATTTCATCTTAGTCCTCACGGGTGACAACGCATCTGCGTTTTGATTCGCAAACGAGGCTAGATGTGGATGTCTATGGGCCACAGCAACCACTTACCATCAGGTGGACTGTGTGCTTGTTTGTCACCTTATCCTATATAAAAGAAAGGTTCCTTACAGACTTTTACTTTTTATATACAGTACTGAAGTGTCAAACAAACTCACAGTCCACCTAAAGGCAAGTGGTTACTGCAAGCCATAGTCATCTACTACCAACTTCAGATAAGAAGCTACAGATGCGTTGTCACCTTTGAAGGCTAAAATGGAATGCCCCACAGCCTATTGTTATACTGGATCCATTCAGACTGGAACACTGCAGTGCAACAACTGCTATTTGGTGGCAGAAATAGGTAATAGGCTTGTAATTTTCCAGACGAATTATACAGCAGAAAAGAAGTTCCATCCCCTAGTAAGATATGCATGTCTGTTTGTAACTTACTATGAATAAATAAAAAAACATTGCGTTCCCTAGTTGCTGGCGGCTGGCGGCGTTGTCTTCTTATGTTATATTTCAGTTCTTAACTTGCTCTTTGCTTTATTTATATTTCACCTTTCGCAGTTTTATAAATTTTTACTTAAACCTTAGAAGCTTAAATATAAACTAATAAAGAGTCAATACATACATCGACGTAAATTCCCGGCAACCCGAAGATTCTGAGGTCAGGTTCCTCCATGGGTGTGTATCGGAAAAACTCGTGGTTCCCCCGATACCATTTCACTGAATACAAAGGTGCACCTTGCATATCCCTCGAACATATAAGTGCAGCTGTTCGTCCCCTGATAACAGTTTCTGGTTCAACCAGTAACTTCACATCACGTAGACTGGTTACACCTGTAATTAAAAAAGGTAAGATAAGTTACAGCCTGGACAGCTTAGATCAAGCTTCCTCTAATTTCTCTGAAAGTAATTAGTTCGGGAGCAGTTAGTCTACTGCTTAGTTCCAAAACGTTTTGGCGGACTTCCTACTTGTATGTCCTCGTTTAACTGCCTCATTGGACCAGTTTCGTCAATGCGACTGCTAATCTTGAAGTCCCGAGTTTAAATCCCGGGTAGGGCCAGCAAAATCACATGTGAAGGAATAGAACCTATGCTTGCGCATATACTCGGAAACTAAAACCCTGTCCGACTTGAGAATGGCCGCTGTGAGCGAAACTCGATCTGGAGGACATTATTATATCCTCTAAAAATTTTCTATGACGTGCTGGTTTACTTACGATGTATTTATTAGCCCACCGCAAAAAAAAAAACACTTAAAATTGTAATTATTAATTTCAATAGTGCCTACGGAGATCGAATTGGGTTTGCTCGCGTACTTGAGATTTACGGTGAGTAAAGTTTACGGCAAGTGCTCCGGCTATCACGGCGCACACCCGTAATTGTCAGAAATAATTTTCAGTACGTATTTTTTAGATTCAATTTAAAAATCTTTCAAGATAAACACGTAGAAGTGTAATTGAATCCTTTCAACCTACACTCTACATTACAAGAACAAACAACTTATTTGTTTATTGCAGATTTTTTTTGTATAATTAGGAACAGATTCGTTATTGTGCGTTTTGATTAGAATAAATAAATTATGAAAGATATTTTTATTGATTTATTTATAGATGGTTTAATTTTTTAAATTAATTTGAGTTTCCAAAACAATTTGAAACTGGAATATTACTAATTATTATTAACATAAATGTTATATAAATTGTTTAAATTAATGTGTATGGTATAACATTATAGTAGAAAACCCTCTTTAACTTTTATTTCAAAATATAAGTGACCTAATTTGTCCCAGCGATCCTCATATGCTTGGGACAAGAGAAGTGCCCTGAAAAATATTACTGTACGGCCAATGAATGAAATAAGGTTTTCAAATTCAATCGAGGTAGACGAATGGAAATATCTGAGAGGGTAATTTATATTCAAACGAAGAAATCTATTTCTTCAAAGAAGTACATTCCTTTAAAGATGCCGTGTGTTTTTACACGTTACTTCCGAACGCTCAGGAGATTTTCGAAGAAAATATTGAAGACTCATTTAGATAATGAAAAATGGGCTTCAGATTCAAAACGTAATATATCAATATATGTACTCGTATATCATATGTGTCAGAAACTTATTTCAATTTACAATAAATTTAGGTTTGCGTTTTTGGTTACCTACAAGTTATCCGCCATTTAGTTATATAAGTAGTCAATTAATATGTGGATATATTGTCCAATTACATGTAAAAACGAGTGAAGCAAATAGAAACATGACGAAACCTGTAAGTCTAAATATAATCTTTTGAGTACGTGTTAAGTCTGCCCACACATACTGGAGGCTCTTATAGATGAGAAGGCGTTTAGCCAAGCAGTGGGACGTGTATAAACTGTAACATAGTAACTTTTAAGAAGGTTTTAAGCATTAGAATTTTTTTCTGTATTGTGGAAGCGTATGACTCGCAAATGAACAAACATGCCATACAAATTGTAGTTGCATGCAAGATTCGAACTTGTGGACCGCAACTAATAATCTACTGCACAACCAAATCGTTAGCGCTTATATCATTTAAATGATAAATTATTATTTGAATTGATTCGTGGAAAGAACAAACTGGTATATATAATTTGTAACTTTGAAACTTTTAGCATTGTGGAATTTGAGCACAGTGATCCTAAAGAGCAAAGTTTTTAAAGGGTTGCGTCCAATATTGTTTGTTGCCTATGGGAGTCAGTGTTTTACTTTCAACCCTTTTAACATTTAAGCACTCGGTAATTCACATAAAATGTACATTTGCTGATTCCAATAAAATCATATTTCAAAGTTTTATCCAAAGTTCTTTTTAAACATGCCCTATATAAAATTCATTCAAATACCAAAGGAAAAAACTAAATAGAAGAGACTTTAGTGTATGTATTTGCATACATTATGCATACGTTAACACCTTTTTTAACTGACTGCTCAAGAGTAAGGCTATATATTTCGCATGCTTGTATACATGACAGAGAAACCATAAGGAACCTCATTTTAAACGGTGGTCGATTAAAAAAAAAACATGTATGAATTCGACAAACGAAATATTAATTATTTAGTCGAGAAATAAAGTTATTTACATATCATTTCATTTTTGATATTTTTATGTCATTCTATGCTGCCTATTTCACGTTATCCCTTTTAAAATGCGAGATGCCTCTAGATTCGTCCATAATCCTAAAGTGTCACAGCCAGCGTTAATAAAAAATAACACTAAAATCTCATAAAACATGAAAATGTGTTTGCTCGCATTCTGAGAAACATGTTTTTTATTACTTAATAATAGATAATAGCAACGAGCACGTATTCCACCTTATGGTAAGTGGATGCTGAGGACTAAGATGGAATGCCTCGTTTCCAGTAAAATGGGTCTCTGCTTATCTACACTTACCATATGAAACAGTGCTCTGTTTCATATGGTAAGTGTAGACTAAGTGGATATTTTACGCTGATATTCTGTGGGAGCGTGGTCCTACCCCGGTCGAGCCGACCCATTCGTGCTACAACCATATATAATGTAGCTCCATCGTGGCTCTAACACGTAAAAACTGCAAAAAGGTTCTTTTGTTTAATAATAATCAATTTTCTATACAGAGACGGGTCAAAAGTTTGCAGTGAGAAGGGGTTATCTTTGATTTATAAGTGGCTAGGTCTCTTTAATTAAGGCGGACACACGCTTAAAAGCGATTACAAAGCGCGACGGCCTGTCGAAGTACAATCAATAAAAAAAAAAATATTTGTATTTAAGTCCAAATGTGACCGAAAAAAACGGTTGGAACCATTTTAAATATTCTGCTTAATCGTCTTGTCAAAAGTATGCGCAAGATGGGTGTTGAGAATGTTTAAGTCGCACTGAAAACAGTGACACGTAACGTGTTGCCGTTTAGGTTTATGATTTTGAACCTTAGTGTCAGCACTGCAAGGTGGAGTTTTACTTACTGTCTACTAGGAGGCAGGATTCCTTTTCCGCCTAGGAGTCCGTCTGGGTGAAAACCCTCTTAGCTATTTCTGCCGCCAAATAGTTAATTAGAGACAGAGAGGAATTCCATCTAAGTCCTTAAATTTGACAACGCATCTGTATCCTCTTTTATTTGAAGTATAGTGAAGGTGGTTTATGCACAGCAGTCGTCACTTACCATCAAGTAGACTGTAAGTTCGTGTGTCACTTTAGTTTTATGAAAAAAGTAAGACTCGATGCAATGCTTTTTGTTTTATCCCACTTTTGCGACTCAGAAGAAATTATTTTCACTGTTTACAAAGAAAAGTAATTCCGTAGCGATGAAACACTAAACTGGAATAATTAAAAGTTTAAAAGACGCTGTAAAGAAAAAAGAGCAAGAAAAAACTGATCAAAGACTTTTGCAGGAAAACGCGCCCGTGCACAAGGCGCATGTTGCGATGGCTGCTATACAAAAATGGCCTTGAAGTTTGGAAATACCCACCCTATAGCCATCTGGGCTAAATAAACCTCCTTACGAATATTATTTGTTTTTGAAATGAAAAGAATGTTGGGGTAACATTCCGAGTAACGATTAGGTCAAGGCCGAAATTTCTATTTTGAAGAGAGAAGGACGAATCATTTTTAACACGATTTTATTTTTATTTTATATATTTGTAATGGAATCCGACGATGTATTTATGTTTGTAATAGAATTTTATAATTCAGTTTTCAGCAACTTGTGTATTTCTGAATAATCTGAAATTTTTAAACGTGTAAAACCGGTGATAATAGAATGTAATTATTACTGCGACCTAGTATTCTCATTAGCGTCGTCATAAGAAGTTAAAAAACTAAAAGTAACAAACTATTTACGTCCCAGTGTTGGGCACACATTCATTTCTGAGAGTGCATCATGTGTGTTGTCTCAGGTTTTTTTTATTTATAATTATTTTGAAGGCTACAATGGTATGAAAAGGAAAGTTTACTTTGAGTAGGTACAAATTAATAGTTCTTCGTCCCCATTTAGTCAACATTTTACCTCCCCACTTAACCTTCTGCGACAGAGGTCTGTCGGATATCACCTAACACAAAAACCGTTGCCAGATAGCAACTTGCCCAGAAACTAGACTGATAACGGTGAGTGCGACGCATCTGGGCGTGCGGTACACACGTGTGGAGCTTCAAGCTGCCCGTGTCCCACATACTTAAGTAACAGCAATAAACTTTGATTCTGATAGACGTCACCTCACCAATGTATTTTTAGATCCATAGTGTCTGTTAGTCATTTTGTCAGTAAAATATAATATATATTTATATATGTAATATATATATATATATATATATATATATATATATATATATATATATGTGTGTGTGTATATGTATTTATAGTGGTATTTAGTTATATGTATGTTTACATGGATATTTGTTTTTATTTTCTTTACTTTATGTTAAGTATATTAATATTATAAAATTTTATTATGAGAGTGCACACTAGATCAGCTTCTCTTTTAATTTGTCCAATATCAGGCCTGCTGGAAGAAATTTCAATATGAAATAAGCAGTGCCTTTGTACAAAATATCTTTTTTTTTCTCTTCCTGGTAACATTATTTTGTGTGTACATAAATTGTTAAATAAATAAATAAATAAATACAACCATATTGTCTCAGACATAACCTAACATTTAATTAGCTAAAGATATTTTCAATATTTTTTTAGTTAAGTAAAGTAAAGACGATAGGGCACTAAAACGAGACAGCAGTGGAAGGTATACGTAGAATTAATGATGTGGAGATTAAGCAATGACTTGAATAATTAGAAAATGAAAACGAGTTTAGTGATTTTTATGATTTGGTAGAAGATCTTGATTATGTGGAAGGGAAT